CATTAGTTTTTCTTGATGCTCCTGAGAATTTCATGCAAGTAGCTCTTGCAGGTGTTTTCCCTCATATTTATTGTTTGGCTAAGGAAGCCAAGCTGCAGACTTTCATCTAGTTGTCTTTGCTTTTTGCCTTTGTGTGTCCACTGTTGCTTGTAAGTACTGCTTCCTCACTTGGCTTCTTCATTCAGCCTTTGGTAACTTTTCATTGCTCCAATCTGCTTCCCTGGAGAAATGATTGGGTCATACTTCCCATTGAGGTATGCAGCCTCTTTACCATCCTTCCCTGTAGACCTGGAAAAATGATCATCCATGAGACAGCTCAGACTTACTTTGTGAGTAAGGCTTTGTAAGTACTGGGTGTCTCTGGAAAACCTGAAACACGGATCGTATTCAATATCAGACTATAGTGTTACACCAATTAAGTATATACAAGATAAATGAGAAAATACATGCAGCTTATCCTAACTGTTGTGGATATAAATTTTTTTAATTGACATAGTGTTTCATGTACTATGAATATAAATTTCGTTCTTAATATCCATCTGGAGTGGGAAACCACACAAAATAATTTCTGGACTGAGTTTGTGTGTAGTGAATATTTAGTCATCTGAAGCACATTTTTGGACTTCGTATTTGTGCCTGTAAGTCATTGCAATCTAAATCACTGCTCTGCCACTGTCTTATGTAAATATGCTGGTGCTTTGGTCTTCTTTTAGTGGTTCCTGTTCAATGTTGTTTGTTCCTTCAGCATAAATCAGAGGGAGATCCTCACAGTGAAGCCATCAGAAACATAATTAGGGTAACAATTTCTACAAATGAAAAAACTTCTCCCTTCCCTCTCCCATGTCCAGTTTCTGGTTTTATAATAAAATGATATTTTAGAGAGAGTTACATTGGGAAAATTCTGGTGTTATAGTGTAAGGGGGTGTAGTGGACCAAAGGACTCATCATCTCAACAAGCAGAAGTTGCTGTTTACAAGCATGATTTCTCAGTAAGTGTGTGGACAGTCCTGTGAACTTGAATATTTTGGAGGGACTCACATCTCCCCTGAAAATGTCCTCAACAGAGGTAAATTTCTAAGAGGTCCACAACCAACCGGTCTTCCCTAAACCTTCTGATTGCAGTAATTCAGTAGGAGAACAGTTTACAACAGCTAAAAACCCCCTTATTTACATAGCATGCTGTGTATTTCTGGAGCCTGCCACCCAGAGAGGTTAGGTAGATGGACACTATGGACAGCGTCAGTTAGACTAGTTCATGGGCAGTAAGTTTGGTGCCTGAATTGATCCCTGTAAATGGTAAGTCAGTTGAAAATCACTAAATAAAGTTAAGCAGTCTTTTAAGGGTAACAGTATGCTGTCAGATTATTTTGGTATCGTAAATTGATGAGTGTAGAAAGGCCATGACTTGATGGCACTTTTGGGAAACCTGAATTTCTAATAGAGCCATACTACCTGGTGTTCCTCTTTTTGACAAATTTGTTTTGTGCAAACACAGCTGCTCTTTATGTTAAACCCACACACATACAAACTGTGTTTTATTTTCCCTGTGTTCATACTTTAAATCCTGGAGTTTGTCATTAAGAATTGAATTTCCTGCCTCACTGCACCTTTTTATTTTCATGCTATTTGATGGAAAACTGTTCATATCCTGTTGTTCTATAGCAAGTGCTCTAGTACCAAAGTTCACGTACAAAAAAGAACATTTTTGGCAAAATTTAAAGGAATGGCAGCTCCAAGAGTAATGCTTGTATGAGAGTATACATTAATGTAGAATAATTGGTGTGCTTTCAAAACTTTTGTTTATAGTACAAAGGGAGAGGGTAGTAACTTAAAGAGCATTGCAGTGGCAATATGGAGTGGAACCCCTCCTGTGGGCTTTTGGTGGGACAGTGCTCCAAGGTTCTTTGTTAGTGATGAGAAGCTGTGAGACAAGCTGTGAAAGGGATGGCAGAGTTAATGGTTGATGGATGTTTCAGACTTCATGAATAGACATATAATGCTGGATCTCTGCTGCTTCTACCTAATGAAAAGTAAATATTAATCCAGCTGCCTGGGATATCTTCCAGGTTTGAGACTCCTAGGAGTTGGAAAAGAAAGGTGGCAGAACTGTAGCTTTAGAAGCAGTTGCTTTCTATCTATAAATGGACTATAGTCCTGTATATGTACAAAATTGGATGGTTCAGGTCTATAAACTCAGACCTGGAAAAGAAAGTTCCTTAAGCTATTTTGTGCTGTGTCAGGCAAAATACTAATTGGATTAACTGTAAGAAACCTTGTAGTCTTTCAGTAGGAATTCTGGGATCTGACCATTCTAAATTAAATCTCTGTTAGTTTTGAGTGTCGTCTTTTCCTCCCACTGCTGTTACCTGCTGATTTTAAGCTTCTCTTTTGGAACTACTTTAATTGCTTGGCAAGGTTTGGATCTGAGGGCTTTTTAGATTTCTTTTTTTTTTTTTTTCTTTTCTTTTTTTTTCTTTTTTTTTTTCCTGGAGACATTTACCAAACTGTTGTCAAGTATAGAAAGAGTAGGCTGCTGCTTGCGAAGTGCCTGGAGTATCCATTGAGTATTGACTCTCAGGTCCAATTCAGAATTTTGCAAGTTGTGGGACTGCAGGGCTCTGAACATTTTGTTTCTGTCCTCTTCACTAGTTTGCTGTCTGATTTTCTGACTTGTCACAAATTCAGGGACGTACAGCTACTTGGAGAAAGTGCTCTGACCTTCCAGGTTTCTCCCTAACAGCCTCAATGTATTTTCCTGTTAACACAAACCCACATTAAAAAAAAACAAACAAAAAAAACCAAACCAAACAAAACCACCACAGACCAAAAAACAGCTTGTTTCCTTGTACTTTAGTGAAAGAGCAGAAGTTAAATCCATTTTTAAAATCTTTCAGGTTTTTGCATTTGGTGCAAATGGGGGCGGGCGGTAATTGAGAGAGCTGTACAGTTATATAACTAAAAGCTCTTCTGGTATAAGTTGGGAGAGCAGATTGCTTGGCCATCAATATGCGACACGTGTTCTTAATCTTCCCACAGTGTCCATGCAGAGGAGTACAGGCGAGCAGTGTGTATTGGTTTGGTAGATTAATGTGTTCAAATAAAAATGCTATTAAAAAATTTCAATTTGGTACAATTTTTTTCTGGAGAAACAGAGATGTTGATATACCACTCGAGGATTTAAATAGTATTTATTTTGCATAATTGATGGTAGATATTTTTTTGAGATAGAAATTCATAGCTGTTGATGACTTTCAATATTAAGTTTATAATCTGTAAATTTTAGGGGGAGGGGGACCAACTAGGAAAAGGAAATCATTCAATGTAACAAAGTGGTGACAAGAGTACTGTATTGCAATTTTATGGGGGAAATACCCTGTTACTATTACAGAAGAATTTTCAGCTAGCCAGCACTCATGAATTGTGTCACCAATTTAGCATAAATATTCATGAAAGAAGTGACTGGGACATGAGTGTATTTTTCTGTACACAGGGCAGGGGGGGTGGGAATGTGTGTGATTCACTCACTGGTTTGATTGGGGGGGTTGGTTTTTGGTTTTAGTTTTTTGATGTAATGACAATATTGATCCTATTTTTAGTGTATGCCTTCAGAGAAAAGTGATTGAAGTAAAAAATAGAATGTGGCACTGCACTGAGGTGAAAGACAGTAACATAAGAACACTCTTTGCACTGTGAGTTTATTTGGTTTGGTGTTACAGCTGTTCTGTATTGTCCTCTTGTAGCTATGTGGAGATGTGACTTCAGCTTCTCCATGCCATGTTACAAATGTGAGGTCTGATTATCCGTGATGGAACACAACCATTACAGCAAAGAGAGAATGTTAAGTCTACTGAATTTCATGCTAACAATTACTAAGAAGCTGTGCTGCTGTTGCAAGATAAGGTCTATCTTGGATCCTTAGTTTACTCAGTTTCTTCATAAACAGCCTTCCAGTTTGAAAATAAGATAATTTTTTTGAGTCACTGAAGAGAGAACTGGTCTAAACTGACCTCAGTAAGTGTCAAGGCTGTTAACATTTTCTTTGTTAAGGATCATTGGCAGAAAAGGCCTGGGCTTGGCCCTAAACTGGAGGGGTGGGGGAAGAAGTTCTCTTCCTCCCTTGGGTAGAGGAAACAAAGCAAGGGAAAACAAAGTAGGTTTTGACAGAGCACTGTTAGTTAAGCTTCCACGGGGGCCTCCAAAAGCATTGCTGCTTTCCTGCAGATGCTTACGATCACCCACCACGACGTTTTCAATTTGATAATACAGCCAAGCTAATCTTTTAACTCCAAAACACAGAAAGAGGCATCCCTGCTTAGCCCCGGCTGCACATCACTTGTGTTCTGTCTGGCATGTTTGTTTGGGCTGCTTTTTCTAGGGAAGCTGCTTGTTAGATTGACTTCCTTGCAGTGAACTGAAACCAACCGTAATTATATAAGCTTAAATAAAGTGGGAGAGGTTAAAGCATAAAAAATCAGTTTCCTCTTCTGTAAGATGATGAGTTTTGGGAAAGCAAGTAGGCCATTTTTCTATACAGAAACCAGTAGTCAGAAATCTGTCTTTTTAACCAGTGGCATACACAGTGTTGGTGTTTGTCTGCATTTAAGATTAGGAGAAATAGAGGAGTGATGTCAAAAGAATGAGCAACCTTGCTTGAACATGTTCTCTTTTTCAGTACAACTTTGGATTGTCTTACTGTTGCCAGAATTGTGTACTTTGCCGGGCAGTAGGAGGAATGGACAGGTACCTATGAAAATAAGAGGTCAAATTTGCCTAATGGCTCTCCTTTAATGAGTTGGTAGCCTTTTGCACACATGTATATGGATGGAGGAAACAGAAAACAGATTCTGATGAGCAGCTGCCACATCTCACTGGTTGTTTAACTAGAGGATGATGCACAAAATTGTCATAACACCTTTCTCGTAAGACAGTGACTTCAGAATGCGTATGCCTAGGATGAACTTTGTGTGGTGAATCTGAATATTGTTCTTTTTCTCTTCCAGTTTGTGGAGACATCCATGGTCAGTTCTTTGACTTGATGAAACTGTTTGAAGTGGGAGGTTCTCCTGCCAACACGCGGTATCTCTTCTTGGGGGACTACGTGGACAGAGGGTACTTCAGCATTGAAGTAAGTTTCTTATTTCTGTTTTTGGCTGTGAAACTGCCTATGGCCTATTGTGTATATTTAGCATCGTAATTTAACCAGTTTAGGAATAATCAAGCTCTTAGCAGATCACACTTGTGAGCTAAAAAAGTCAATGTTCAGGTTGCTGATGGTGTTTTCTTAAAGGTTGCTTGATATCCAGCCAAATCCTACCGGTCTGTCCTGGAAAGCTGATGGTGAGCAGACTTTGGTGCTAACTAGTGGCCATACAAACATAGTACAGAAGTCAGGCTGCTGTGCAGCTTGTGCCAGCTAAATATGATGAATAGACATGAGGCATTAGAAAAGAGAAGTAACAGAAAAACTAAATTAACAACTCATTGTTTAATTTGACATTTAGATTTATTGATCTGAGTCTCATGGATGCAAAAATTTTATGAAAATGGAAGTACTAGGCTGGAGGTAAATGGAACAAAAAGCCAGCAGATTATATGCAGTGCTGGAGAAGGATGAGTTCTGTTTAGATGTGGCATGCAGGAGTGAGTGATCTCCGGCTTGTGATGCAGCACTTGAACGCACAGAGAAGTGATACACAAACTCCAGTATCAGGTTGTAGAATGTGGAGGTCAAATTACATCATCTGTAGCTGGCTTGTGGAAGAAGGTGTCCAACATGCCCACCTATGACTTATAACAAGCCAAATACCAAGCACAAATACTTTGTTACAGTGTTCATAAAACAAACTGTTTTTTTTATTTCCCTTCTGTATTGCTCCTTGATTTTGCAAACTGAGAGATGAGGTGCACGATTATCAAATAAAACCTAATCTGGATTTGTTAATTCAGGTCATAGTTAATCTAGTCCTTGAACGATCAGGCAGAAACCCTTGCAGAAGCTTTTGAGCTACAGCTGGACTCCTTTCTCTGAGAATTTCAGTCAGGGGTGAGCACTGTTAAAAGCTATATAGGCCCTATAGCACATGGCTGTGTCACTGTCAAGATAAGATTGCAGCATGTAAAAACACACATACTGCTGTTTCATCCTACATACCACATCTTAGCACACTGTTGCCATATTGGTGTAAAAATACATAATCCCAAACAGCTGAGTTATTTTTGTTTGTAAAATGGCACAGTGCATTATCTTGCCAGTGTTATATTTATAGGGTGAATAGAAATTTCTTAAATATAAGATTCAGTAAAACTAGCTTTTATTTGTTAGTTAATTTAAAATTTAATTTTCAATGTTAACAGAATCTTTTCACATATTTTTCAGATACAAATATTCTGTTCCAAGTGCAAATGCTCTAAATAACGAAGAATTGCAAGGTCTTTCACCTGTCTGCCAAAAAACAATACAGTCAGGATTTAGTCTCATACTGGAGTCAGCACTTTAGTAATGATGGGGTTTTTGAGCCACGTTTGTTTGCTCCCTTTTCTCATCCATAGTGAGCTGTGAGCTAAATCATTGCTGTGGATTACCATGCTGGATTGCATGAGGGACGTTTGGAGTTGTGGGGCGTGGCTTCATAGACTTAAACTGTTGTGCAGGTCAATCTTGAACTACCATTTTTCAGTTGCAATAACCTAATTCACATCTCCTGTAGACCTCAGTTGAGCCAAGTTGTATCTGGAAGAGAAGAGTTTAATGTTCATTTATATATATGTTTTTAATATAAGAAATAAAACAAGTGAATTTGCTTCATCTTTCAAATGCTTGTGACAGTTTGCTGAAATCTCCTCCAGGGCTATTACCAATTAAAGGCCTTAGCAAGTTATATAACACAAAGTAAAATATCTTATGGGTGGGAAATAAGCCCCTTAAAATTCCTCATTTAGCAACCTGCACATATATATTTAGCAAATTACATTCTGAATTTAGTTTTTCCATGCTGGAACATTACTTTTTCACTGGAAGCAGCACTGTCTTCTGCCAGCACCAAGGAAACACCTGAATGGTCACTTACATTATTCCTTTTTGTATATAATGTTCTCAAATCACTACTGGTTTTGGTCACATAACTGATTCTCCCCGCCTGTCACCTTGAATAAAGAATGCCTTTGAAAGGAAAGGCAGTTTTTTGTTTTGTAAGTGTACTTGGATGGAGAGCTGTGCATTCAGGCATGAACTCAGCACAGTAAGTAGGGAAGGAAAATGGTGAAGAATGCAACTTGGCATGCTGGGAGGGGGGTGTGCTTTTTGTGCAGAAGAGGCACTGAGCACATTTAGTAGGCACCAGCTCTTGCCACTACTTTGTGCTGGAGAAGTTGTGGTAGTAAACGGTCTTGCCCTTAGCTCAATGCGTGTTTCTACCACGTCAGTCACATGGTGATCTTTATTCTGTCAATCTGTTGGCTCCCCTTTCTGCTGAGACTATTGCAGTTGAGATCTTTTAAAAAAAATCAAGTAACTGGTCCAAGGTGCTAATCAGGAGTAATAAAAGCTTTTTAAAAAATCCCTTTGATTGCAGTGTGATATCTAGTTAAAAATGACACCATTGAGCCTCGACCTAGCTGAGTTCTGGTAGTGGGTGAGATAATCCTTGTCTGTGGGTTGCAAAGCATTTGGGATTCTTCTGGATAAAAGGTACTATATAATGTAAGCTATTATCATAAAGACAGAGGAAGAAATTGCATAAGGTAGGTGGAAGACATTTGATAATGCAGAGGGGAAAAAAAGTATTTGCCTAAGGCACTCAGCA